ACCCCAAAATGGATGGTGGGACCCCAAAACCTCATAGTGAGACCCAAAACCCCTATAATGAGACCCTAAAATGGATGGTGGGACCCCAGAACCTCATGGTGGGACCTCAAAACCCCATGGTAGAACCCAACATGTCATGGTGGGACCCCAAAACCTCATGGTAGGACCTCAGAACCCCATGATGGGACCCCAAAAGCTGATGGTGGGACCTCAAAACCCCATGGTAGGACCCCAAAACCCCATGGTAGAACCCAACATCTCATGGTGGGACCCCAAACTTGATGATAGAACCTCAAAACCTCATGGTAGGACCCCAAAACCTCCAGATGAGACCCCAGAACCTCATGGTGGGACCCCAAAACCACATGTTAGAACCCAAAACCCCATGATGAGACCCTAGAACCTCATGGTGGGACCCCAAACTTGATGATAGAACCTCAAAACCTCATGGTGGGACCCCAAAACCACATGTTAGAACCCAAAACCCCATGATGAGACCCTAGAACCTCATGGTGGGACCCCAAACTTGATGATAGAACCTCAAAACCTCATGGTGGGACCCCAAAACCCCATGAAGAGACCCCAGAACCTCATGATGAGACCCCAGAACCTCATGATGAGACCCCAGAACCACATGTTAGAACCCAAAACCCCATGATGAGACCCTAGAACCTCATGGTGGGACCCCAAACTTGATGATGGAACCTCAAAACCTCATGGTGGGACCCCAAAACCCCATGAAGAGACCCCAGAACCTCATGATGAGACCCCAGAACCTCATGATGAGACCCCAGAACCACATGTTAGAACCCAAAACCCCATGATGAGACCCTAGAACCTCATGGTGGGACCCCAAACTTGATGATGGAACCTCAAAACCTCATGGTGGGACCCCAAAACCCCATGAAGAGACCCCAGAACCTCATGATGAGACCCCAGAACCTCATGATGAGACCCCAGAACCACATGTTAGAACCCAAAACCCCATGATGAGACCCTAGAACCTCATGGTGGGACCCCAAACTTGATGATGGAACCCCAAACATGGTGGGGACCCCAAACTTGATGATGGAACCCCAACACCCCATGATGAGACCCCAAAACCCCATGGTGGACCCCCATACTCACGTAGCAGAACCTCCCCACCTTTCCTTACCCCACCACCACCTCCTCCTCTCACCGATGACCATCCCCATTGTCCTCTCTCTCCCCTCTTTGACCCCAGTTTGACCAGGGGGTGATGGTGGCCGTGGACTCTCGTGCCACGGCCGGTTCCTACATCGCATCTCAGACGGTTCAGAAGGTGATTGAGATCAACCCCTATCTCCTGGGGACCATGGCTGGTGGAGCGGCCGACTGTAGCTTCTGGGAGAGGTTGTTGGCTCGTCAATGTCGAGTCTACGAGCTGAGGAACAAGGAACCCATCTCGGTGGCCGCGGCTTCTAAGTTGTTGGCCAACATGGTGTATCAGTACAAAGGGATGGGCTTGAGTATGGGCACCATGATCTGCGGGTGGGACAAGAGGGGACCAGGTGAGGGGAACGGTGGTGGTGGTGGGGTCATGAAGGGGTTGGTGGTCATGGGGGGAGGTGGTTGGGTCTTGAGATGGGTGTTGGGTTGGTGG